GTCCTGGTTCAGTCCTGGTTTAGTCCTGGTTTAGTCCTGTTGTAGTCCTGTTTCAGTCCTGTTTTAGTCCTAGTTCAGTCCTGTTTTAGTCCTGTTTCAGTCCTTTCCTTTAGTCCTGTTTAGTCCTATTTCAGTCCTGTTTTAGTCCTAGTTCAATCCTGTTTTAGTCGCGGTTCAGTCCTGGTTTAGTCCTGGTTTTGTCCTGTTTTAGTCCTGTTGTAGTCCTATTTCAGTCCTGTTTTAGTCCTAGTTCAGTCCTGTTTTAGTCGTGGTTCAGTCCTGGTTTAGTCCTGGTTTAGTCCTGTTTTAGTCCTGTTGTAGTCCTATTTCATTCCTGTTTTAGGACTAGTTCAGAGGGACGCTGCGTTCTGAGGGGTCAATGGGTTGGGGGCCCCTCCAGGTTTGGGGGCCCTCAACGGCGGCCTACTGTGGCCTAATCATAGCACCGCCTCTGTTCCCAGAAGGAATTACTGTATTTTTGAGCATTAGAAACACTTGCAATGAGTAAATGCTAAATGGAAATGTTTAAAGTCATGCTAAGGAACATTCCAGGCAAAGCAACAACATCTCCATGGAGACAAGCAGATGGCGGACCCTCCCCCAGAAAAACTGCACAGTGCATCTTTAACAAAACATAAAGAAATACTACTTACTTCAATAAGGAAAATATAGCCGCAAGTGGCAATGATCGGCCCTTGCACGCGCCTACACCATGCCCCACAAATGCCACGCCCTGCACTAACTCTAATAACCCTAAACTTAAACCTAATGTTTATGGTATCAGAATCTGTATTGAATATTGAGTCTGTTCCTTAGTATCGCAGTTAGAGTTAGTATCGTTACTAGGGCTGGGTATCATTAAGAAGTTGCCGATTTGATACATACCTCTATACACAGGCTACAATACGATATCTCGATACAGTGAGCTTTTGAATTGATATGATATATTTCAAATCAATGTAATACGGTAAATAAATAAAAATTTAAAAGCTAAATCATGGCTGTGGTACTAAGAGTCTTTGTTAAATCACTTCTTGTTCAAAGTTCATATGAAACACAAACATTTTAACTCTCAAAACAGTGAAAATGACAAAGGTGTCGCATAAACAAGTTTTCTTACACTCAACAAACACCAAAACTGTAGCTCTGTAACAAAATAATTGACTAAAATACACACACACAAAAAAAACCTCTTGGCGATATATCAATACAGCAGCCCACGATATCGATACCGTATCATCACATGGAACAATACGATATATCGATATTTCAATCAATTTTTTGCACACTCCTAATCGTTACAACACTAGTTAAAAGTCTCAGTGCAGCCACCTGTTCCCTTTGTTTGCTCATGCAGTTCCACGAGTCCTCAAATAGACCACTGCTTGCATAATTATTCACATAAGTAGTCTTAAATAATCTGGTTGTGCAATTTTAAAATCAATATGTCGTTTTGCACCATTACCCAGTGACTCAGAGCGCTGAAATGACAAAAAGGCCTGTCTCAGAGAGCGGAGAAATCCAAAAGTTAAAAAGTAAAAGAACATGTCAAAGCTTTTGTTGGATCAATCTCTGTCTAGCAATAAGCTCAGTCCGTACAGATGTTTTTCTTTTCACTTCGAAGTTTGTGATTCGATTCCTCTTACAGATTTTGCTTTTTCTGCTATTGTACCCTTGGGCAGGACACTCAATCTGTCTGTGTGTGACTGATGTTTCTAATTTCCTTTTATGGCTTTGCATATGGTTGTTGTGTCCATGGGCAAGAGTTTTTATTTGTGTGCAGTGTTGGGGAGTAACAGATTACATGTACCAGAGTTACGTAATCAGAGTACAAATTATGAGTAACTGTATTCAGTTACAGTTACTGTTTCAGTGAGTGGTAATTGGATTACAGTTACTTGTTTGAAATAAATGGATTACACGGCGGTATTTTCCTGCTTTCACACTTTGGGCTATTCCCCTTCTTTTTTTTTTTCTCGGTAATTCCACTCATTGCCAGACACTAAACCGGGTCTAAACCAGGTCTAAACCAGGTCTAAACCCAGGTCCAAACCAGTTCTAAACCTGGTCTAAATTAGGTCTAAACCAGGTCTAAACCAGGTCCAAACCAGATCTAAACCAGGACTAAATTAGGTCTAAACCAGGTCTAAATCCAGGTCCAAACCAGTTCTAAACCTGGTCTAAATTAGGTCTAAACCAGGTCTAAACCCAGGTCCAAACCAGTTCTAAACCTGGTCTAAATCAGGACTAAACCCAGGACTAAAACCAGGTCTCAATCAGGTCTAAACCAGGTCTAAATCAGGTCTAAACCAGGACTAAACCAGGACTAAAACCAGGTCTAAACTAGGTCTAAACCAAGTCTAAACCAGGTCTAAACTAGGTCTAAACCAGGACTAAACCAAGACTAAACCAGGTCTAAACCAGGTCTAAACCAGGACTAAAACCAGGACTAAAACTAGGACTAAAACCAGGTCTAAACTAGGTCTAAACCAGGACTAAACCAGGTCTAAAACAGGATTTAACAGGACTAAATCATGTTGCGCTGACCGTGTCTCCTCCTCTTCTATCAATAATATTTTAAGTAAAGACTGTTTTTTTTTTAAATTATCTTTTAGCAGACAAAATATCTTATGTTACGATATCCTCATCTTTGCTTCTCTACAGCAAATCAAGTAATCCAAAGTATTCAGATTATGTTACTCACTTTAAGTAATTTAATGGATTACGTTACAAACTACATTTTGGGGTCTGTAATCTGTAATCTGTAGGGGAATACATTTTAAAAGTGACCTTCCCAACACTGTTTGTGTGAAATGCAAATTAAGATAAAGATAAAAAATGATGAGTTCTAAATACGCCTACTACTCCAAAGCTCTATATATGACCTTTTAGCAGAGGTTTGGGGTTCAACTTAGACCATTTCATGCTTTAAAGTATTCTGATCTATATTATAATGTCTTTTCCTGATCAAAAACATACCCAGAATTTTGTTTTGTTTCATTCTCACGTGTTTAACACAGAAACACTGCATATTTATTAGGCTGAGTTCTTCTCTCTAGCAGAATAGGCTCTCTTCACGCTTACGTCACAAACCAGGAAGACGTTTGGAAAGTGGTAGTTACCAACACTGGGCTCATCTACTGGCTGTGAAGTAAATGTGATCAGTGGTAAAATAAAAACTGCATACGTATGTGCTGTTTGGAATCGTCTTGAATTTGGTGCCTCATGTCTTCTAATCACTGTTGGGCAAGTTACTTCAAAACTGTAATGTGTTATTTATGACTTATCACTGTCAAGTCAAAGTAATTTGTTACGTTATAATATTACTGCATTTAAAATGTAAAACTTTACATGACTATTGCATTATTTTAAGTTACTCTCAACAAAATAACTGTCGCTGATTGTCAAATCAACAATCAGCGAGCGAAGATGCTGAACTTTTGCGCCGTAAATGGACTGAACCAGGACTAAACCAGGATTGAACCGAGGACTGAACCAGGAGGGCAGAACCAGGACTAAACCAGGACTGAACTAAAACTAAACTAAGACTAAATCAGAGCTGAACCAGGATTGAACCTGGACTGAACCAGGTCTAAACCAGAGTTGAACAAGGACTAAACTGGGTCTAAACCAGGACTAAAGCAGGACCCAACCAGGTCTAAACCAGGACTAAGCCAAGTCTAAACCAGGACTAAAACAGGTATAAAACAGGACTAAACCAGGACCAAACCAGGACTAATCTTGGATTAGGATTTGGAATCTAGGACCGCCCCTGAGAGATTAGCCCCATGGAGCACTTTTGTCTGAGGTTACGATCTATGCAGGCGCACCTCTGGGCCTGTCCTGACATTTGGAACTGTAACGATGACTTTTCACCGTTTCACCGTTTCACTCATGATGACTTAGCACTGTTATTTCTTCTTGTAGTCTACACTGAAATGGAGCAAAGGATCATGGTCTATGTAGTTCCCTCTGTTTTGTTTTTTGTTTTTTAGCTATTGCTGCACCATAACTCTTAATTTAAGCAAAGAGACTTGTAATGATAATGTATGCAAAACTTTCAGATTGAAAATAAATATAAGATACAGTTTTGCGATGCATAAAACATAAAATGAATAAAATATATTTGAAAATAAGAACATGAAATAAGGCATAGAAAAACATAAATGTATCCAAAATAAACTATTTATCCAGCTGTTCTACAATCTCCATATTTAAATAATTAAAGAAATATACTTACCTAAATTTTCTGTCCAATTTTTAAAAAAGATTCAAATTTCATAATAATTCACCACATATCTGTAGCACCTCTGACCTCCATGGAACCAAACAATTTTTTTTCAGAAATCATTAGTTAAGATGCATGTTTTTTGTCCACCCTCAACTGCTGACTTTTAAACTTCTTTAAAACTATTCTAAATCAAATAAAATTTATTTTGAATGGTATTCTTTACACATTTTTCTTGATTTTATGCATTTTACAGAGAAAAGTCGTATGTTACTTAAGCACAAGTTGGTTGATGTTGGACATCAAAAGAAAATATCAATATGCATTAAAAATCTAAAGAATCTAAAGAAATGCCAACAGTTTGTTCCTATACACTTCATATTACTTAGATTAATATCCCAATCATGTTTTAGAAAATACATTTAAGGTTATTGTTGGTCACACCACATGACATTTTTTAAGGTTGTGGCCAATTCATGTCCATAAAAACACACTGACACTGTAAATATTTGAAAAAGTTCAATAGAAACAAATATTTTTTTATATTTTAATATTTGCCTGTTATACTTCATTGACCCTTATATGAAAAATATCACAAAATAAACTTTAATGTTAAGCCTTTCAACTCGATTATATGACTTTGGAGATCGTTTGACACACAAATCGAAATTGTGATTGTCAGTTTTGTGTAACAGGACCTTTAAAAGTGTGTTATTGCTTCATGTGCAAGCCTTAACTAACCATTTCTCCCTTTCTCTATTTCTTCCTCCAGTCTCTATGCGGCTGCTCCGTTACCGTGTCCACCATCGACGGAAAAACCTGCAACATGAAAATCACCGACGTCATCAAACCGGGCATGAGGCGGACCGTGGCGGGACAGGGCCTCCCTCTGCCCAAGAACCCGGAGCAGAGGGGCGATCTGGTGGTGGAGTTCGACGTCAACTTTCCCGAAACTTTACCCAGCAACGCCAAGGATGTGCTAAAACGCCACTTACCCACATAGAAGCCGAGGACGCGCAACAAAATGAGCCAAAAATCGCAATTATTGGTAGCGGTTTGACTACAGGGACGTGCATTTCAATGACAGTTGGCAGATGGAACCCCTACGAATGTGCAATTTCTATTTTTAAAAAGTGTTTCTTTGAGATAAACACGCCGCATGCTGCCAAGTGCGAAGCAGTGAACTCAAGTGGGCTGTTAGATATTTGGGCTATGCTATCCAAAAAGAGGACATTTTAAGACTGTACACATGTTTGTCTGCTTTTGAAAATATATATTATGGAATGAGTGTATAGATGCCAAAAACGTGATGAAATGCAAGTATGAAAAGTGCAAAACAAGCCAGCTTTTTTACAGACAGATTCTTTTAAATGTCTCGAGCCTTCTCTGGAGTGTTGTGGTACAGGTCATGGTACGAAGGGCAGATTTTGTAACATTTTAGGATCATTTTTAGCTGTTTCTGTCAAAGAGAATATATTCTACTTGTATTTTTTCTTCTTAATTTTAAAATATTAGCCTCAAGAAAACTCCCCTGGTAAAAATGGAAAGAGACGTTTAAATTTACTGTATATCCAACAAAAAAGTGAATTGTAACTTCTTTTAAAATGTTTTGATGTTATTTGGATATTATATTATTTCGAGAGTTTAAATTTAAGGTGCAACATGTAACTTTTCTAGTAGAGGATCCGGCACTCAACCTTAAACAGCAAGATGGATTCTGATGATGCTTGTGAGTTCACAGACTGACGAGAATTCATCTTGACATACTCATCTTGACAGATTCACCAGGGGGCAGTGGGTTGACCAGTCACACAGCAGCACTGGGGTTTGTGCAGAGCCAAAGTCTATTTTAGCAGAAATACAGAATATTTTGTTTATGAAAATGTGCAGAGGTAAGACCCTTGTGCATTTGTAGACAGAGAGGATGTCTGTGCTTTTCTCTCAACTGAATGTAACAAAAGCTTGTTTTTTTCAACTTGTTTCGCTGTTGTGACGCTTCGACAAATCAGATTCTAATAGTCGTCATGTTCCAGACTGATATTGTGCAGAACTCAGAGCGACACAGATCAATCTGGTGTGAGCTAGATTATCTAACACCTGCTTGTTTCCGTTACTTGTCCTGGAATGTTCCACAGTATGGCATTTGGTGTATTTATTCAATTACAGGTGCTTTTATTGTTCAAAAATACATTGAAAATCAGGCATTCTTACTGTGTGTTTGCGGTGGACTCTCTACCAGAAAAGTTACGTTGCGAATCTTTAATGGCTTCACTGAATGCTGTTTTGTTCTAGCCAGGCTGTTGGCTTGCAAGAACCCAGGAAGTGCGAATTCAGGCACCAGTAAATCAGCGAAGAGCCATATATTCTGTGTTGGCAGCGATTCAAGAGATCGAGGATTTAAAGCCGGAACAAAGAGAATGTTTGGTGAATTTTATCGAGGGGAAAGACGTTATTGTCCTTCTTCCTACGGGATTTGGGAAAGGTTAATATACCAGTTAGCCTTGATATCAGCGAATTACATACATCACGACCAAATAGCAGTGATTGGTTAAATAAAAAAGTACCTGCCTACTGTCAAGTGAACGAATCCTAATGCTGCGAGGTCAGACGGTTTCTACGAAGTGAAACCGTCTGATGAATCAGACTAATCACCTGTGTTGGGAAGGTGACTTTTAAAATGTATTCCCCTACAGATTACAGATTACATACCCCAAAATGTAGTTTGTAACGTAATCCATTAAATTACTTGAGGTGAGTAATGTAATCTGAATACTTTGGATTACTTGATTTGCTGTAGAGAAGCAAAGACGTAAAATCAGATGTTTTGTCTGCTAAAACAAAATAAAAAGATGTTAAATCCTGTTTTAGACATGGTTTAGACCTGGTTTAGTCCCGGTTTAGTCCTGGTTTAGTCCCGGTTTAGTCCTGGTTTAGTCCTGGTTTAGTCCTGGTTTAGACCTGGTTTAGACCTGGTTTAGATCTATCTTAGATCTAGTTTAGACCTGGTATAGTTTCCGGCAATGAGTGGCCCAAAATGTGAAAACAGGAAAACAGGAAAATACCGCCGTGTAATCCATTTATTTTAACAAAGTAACTGTAATCCAATTACCCCTCACTGAAACAGTAACTGTATCCGAATACAGTTATTCATAATTTGTACTCTGATTACGTAACTGCGGTACATGTAATCTGTTACTCCCCAACACCGCTAATCACCTGCTTCTTTTCATGGAAATTCATAAATTCAATATCATGCTGTGGAACATTTCCCCCAAAGCAATGTTGTGGACTCTTCACCAGAAAAGTTACATTGCGAATCTTTAATGACTTTTCACTGAATGTTGTTTTATTCACACCCCCAGAAAAGAAGATATACAGTATATTCTAAAACTGGGAATGCACTGGTGCTTTTAGGGAAATCCAGATTATTATTTATTAGACTATGCGGTCATTTTTTTGTTTTGTTTTTTTGTTGTATTGTTACCTGAACCATAGTGTACTGTACTTACCCAGACCTTTGCCACATCACTCCACGACAATTGCCAATTTGTGTTGAGAACATTCAGACATACGGAGAATCATTCGTGTATTTTTAAAAAAGAATTTGACTTGAATGTCTGCATAAATATTTCTATGTGAACAGAGGAGAGAGTTCTTCGCTTCACACACGTTTGCTTCTACGGTCAGTCTGCATTTTAGCGTTAACACATAGGCTCTTTGCGGTGCCATATAAAGAACAGTTTGGGTATATTTTGATAATTGTGAATACTTTGTCGTTGTTATACTATTTCCTATGTGCAAAGATACAAAGCTGAATAAATCTACAAACGGTTACGTAATTGTCGAGCCTTGAATGCGTAATTACAGTTATGTCAGCTGTTGCAATTAATCTGCCAACACGCTGTACTTTGGTTTTTCCTCTAGGGGACGCCAGATCACTCTGCATCACTATGGGGAATATCAGCGGGCCTCAGATTGGTACAGAAAGAGGACTGTTGCCATAGCGATTTAAAACAAAATACAGGAAGTTGAAACCGTGAATACTGAGAGGGGCACAGTCAGGTATTTTAAAGATAGTTTACTACTGGGAGACGACTGGGGTTCATAATTGCGTTGTTATTTTAAGAGAATATTTATAGTAGTAACATGTTGCCCCCACGTTACCCTGCTCCTGTCTGTGAATATTACTGTTGTGCCCTTGAGCAAGACACTTTACATTATATATGCGTGTTTCAATGGAGAGATGATGGTGAAATATTGAGTAACGAGGCGGAGTTGTTATGGACGCAATTAAATATAGGCTAAAATTGTACTCAAGTAAAAGAGTAAGAGTATTGTAGAAGTACAAAGAAGTGGCTCAAGAAAGAGTAAGAAAGTATTTGGGAAAACTACGGAAGTAAAAGTAACTTAAACAGAAAATTTCAGGACTTAACTCTGATTTATAATTTGAAGTTAATGTAATTAGAAGGACAAAACATTAAATAAATCTGGTACTTTTAAAGGACAGACACAAAAATGAGACAAACTAAATCAGACATGTCAAACTCAGGCCCGGGGGCTAAATTTGGACCACGATATAATTATATTTGGCCCGTGAGATTGTATCAAATATGTATTAGAGCTGCCCACCGGCTACAGATCGACTAAAGAGACATTATTTATTTAAAATTGTGTTATTGTACTTGTTCTGGATTCAGTGTTTTAGCAAAACTATTATTAAACATTTATTTTAATAAGAAAAGGTTTAACATTACATATCTCGAAAGAAAAGAAAACATGCAGATGATGTTGAAAATTCAATACACATTTAGTTTGGCCCACAACTTAGTCCTAGTTTTTAATTTTGGTCCTCTGTGAATTTGAGTTTGACACCCCTGATCTAAATCATACATGAAGGAGCAGGGCAAGAAACACAAATGTTCAAATCATTTTATAGAGTAACCAAAACTTTTACTTAAGTAAGAGTACTGTTACTTCAGTAACAATATTACTGAAGTAGGAGTAAAAGTGTGCTGTAAAAGTAAAAGTACTCATAGGGAGAGGTGGGGACTTGCAAGTCGTGACTTTGACTCGAGTCAGACTTGAGTCACTATTTTTAGGACTTGAGACTTGATTTGATAAAAGGCTTAAGGCTTGTGACTTGAGAAGACTTGATGCTCCTCCTAAAAAATATATATGTTTTTAGAAAATACTTTTCTCTTTACAGTTGAGAGTGGAGTTTGTTACTTTGGATGTAACTGAAGTACTGTGAGATGGTATCCTCAAATTTACTACAGTAGTATACAGTACAGTACAGAGGGAACTACAGAGAGCATGATCCTTCATGACAAAATAAGAGTTATTTATCTGAATTCTTTCTGTTCTGACCGTAATGATTCACACTAAGATCTTGTCAAGACATTTAAAAAGGAAAAATTAGCATTTCTACAACTCCTATATAAATACTCATATATAAATATACCATGACTTGTTAAGTACAATTTAGTATAAAATTCATTTAAATTGCATAAATCTAAGCTATATTTGGTACTTTGGCTTAAAGACTTAAAATGACTTGAAGTTCAAAGCAGACGACTTGGACTTGACTTGGATTTATGGGCCAGTGACTCAAGACTCGACTTGGACTTGCCTGTTTTTGACTTGGGACTTGACTCGGACTTGAGGTCAAAGACTTGAGACTTACTTGAGACTCGCAAAACAACAACTTGGTCCCTCTTCTGATAATAGACCATCACATTTGCATGATGTACTTTCCAGAAGTACTTTATTAGCTCACAGATGTCTCACGTTTGTTGCGTAATTGTTATCTAATTGCATTATTATTAGGTTAGTAATGTTTGGAGAAGCTGTAATTAGCCAATGACAACAGATCACATTGTTAAAGATCATAATGAATTATTCAGGGTTCATTAGTCGTTACTTTTGGACACTTCAGCACAAGCTTCATGTCCTGTGTATGTTCATGTTTATATTCCAATGGCTTAAGAGAATTTGAAAGTTTAATCTTTTATAGTTTGTGTACCTTTATTTAATTTTTCCTGCTGGTCTGAAATAACAAAGCTTTTAGGACAACATTGGTTCCTCTATCTACCAACCCCTGTTAGATGATTTTTGATTGTAATCCTAACGTTACCTTAATTTTTTGTGTTTATTGTATATGAACTACTATATTTTTACTATTTTATTCAATTTAAAGCCACAGTATGTAAGTTTTTAGGTAAAAAAACAGACCGATATAAAAGTATTCTCAGTTTCCTCGTTTTGTTTGTGTTTACTGTACTGAAAAACTTTGAAAAACATGTGTCCTTACAGTGAGTGGGCTTGCTTATCCACAAACCTTACTCTTATTTGGTCCAGCTTGTTTCCGTGGACTGTATAAAGAAGTGGACTCCATTCAAATGAAGCTCACAAGGTTAGGCGTTACAGGGCAAAATAGTGCAATAAAAACACCAGGATCTTGCAGAGCGGTTAATAAACATTTTATGACTAAAATAAAGAGCCTGACCTTTCGGTGCAGAGTGAACCGGAGCCAGAGTCGATGGACCCGGAAGCGCTCACTTCCTATTTGAACTGCAGCAGGTGCCTGTGTCCATTTATATACAGCAAAACAGTTTCATGAGTTTATGGCTACAATCTTCCACAGTCGGCTATGACAGAAAATGTGTTTATCTCCATGGAGAACGCTCTAAAATATGGTTTTAGGTTTCTGTTTCCATCATACAGGTGTTGTACCACTGTCCTTGTACCATTTGTTTTTTTGAATTTCAATCAAGAACGAAAAACAATAAAATGGGAAAACAGTTTGTTATTTAATTTTTCTGTTCTAGTGTCAAACAAAAAAACAGATTTCGACCTCTATTTCCAATATTTAAAAAGTTTATTTCAAATAACACCAATCAAAAAACAGACTCAGTGCCTATTTTAATTCTGATATTTTACTCTCTCTGGTTTATATGAAGTTCTGCTGCTAGAAGGACTTACCTGATAAAATTGTTGCAGTTTTGTGGACAAACATGTTGTCTTCTTTTACAGCGACGCATTTACTTTTGCTTCTTAGAAAGTAATTGTTGAACTCCATAACGAGAAACAGGAATCTGATAAACTCTCTTTTGTTCAGCATAGAACTACAATAAAATTATTAATTAATATATTTTTATATATTTTTTTAATTATAGATCCATGGTTGACACTGAAGTCACAGGAGGCGCTGAGCAGTAGAACTTCATATCAACCAGAGAGAATAAAATATCAAAATTAAAATAGGCACCGAGACTGAAATCTGTTTTTTTTATTTGACACTAAAACTAAAAATTAAATGACAAACTGTTTTCCCATTTTATTGTTTTTCATTCTTGATTGAAATACAAAAAAACGAATCATACACAGACCTATCACCTTCAGAAAGTTACAGTCTGTACTTTTAAATATTTGCCTGCCAATAAATAACAAAACTATTGCAAACCTGAGGGCAATATTGGCTTTTCCATCTGTCCTCTTCTAACTTTTTGATCACGGTCCTAAACTTTTCCCCCATTTTCTCTCACCATTGTAGGTAAAAAACCCTGTGTACCTGACAAAACATTGAACAATAGCCCCTCACTGTCCTGTGTGAGGAGCAGGTGCACAGATGAAACTGCCCTCGTGCCCCTGGGCTCGGGTTTGTCCCCCATTGCGCATGCGTCCTGTCGCACGCTGAGGGAAAAACAGTGTGGCTATTGTTAGCCGCTCCAGCAGGTTGTGTCAGAGTTTATCCCAGCTCGGAGGCCTGCCCTGCGCCTACCTGTTGAATATTCACCTCGACAATTTGCAAACGAGTCAGTATCGAGGAGCAAAGTCTAGAAAACTACATCGCGGCGGAGGAGAAGGAGCGAGAGGCGTGCGTAATAGGCGAGGGAGACCGATTGGCGTGCGTACAAGGAAGTAATCAACAGGTATAACGCTTATTCAATGTTATAGCACGCGAAGGAATAGTTTCATCTGTCCGAGCCATCCGAAGTTTAGAAACATGCCCCTGGGACCATGGAGGAAGAAGAAATCTACGAAGGAGCACTTGGTGGAGAACGAGGAGGTGAGCGGTATCGGCGGAGGTAGTGGAGGAGGAGCGGGACTCGCAGGTGCAGGGAGCCCGGGGAAGGCGGCGGTGAACGGGGCAGGTCTCCCGCCGCCTCCCGCTAACCTCAGGCCCAAGCTGGTGTTCCACACGCAGCTCGCACACGGCAGCCCCACGGGGAGGATAGAGGGCTTCACCAATGTCAAAGAACTGTACGGGAAGATAGCAGAAGCCTTCAACATCAGCCCGCCAGAGGTAAGAATAATAACGCACGGAGCTTGGGACATTGGACTGGGTCTAATGAAGCAGAACATAAAGTGACAGAGGGACTTACACAAATACTCTCAAACTGGGACTAAAATGAAACTAATCCAGGATTTTATCAGGATCAAAGTCTAGTCTAGTAGTAGCAGTACTACACAGCCAAACAGCTTGCCCAAAATTTAAGATATAAACACTTAAATCTATCAGAAAATTACTTCGAAGTAGTGAAATGATCTGTCCACGCAGCAAGATCATTTTACTTGATACGTTATCTTAAAATAAACTACCTCTAGTCTATAATTAAGTACTCTCTGGTCTAGTAAGTAGATAATAAATCTGAAAACAAGATAAATAACCTGATATAAGTTTTAAAGTCTTGGCCAGATCAGAGAAATTTGCAGTTTAGTAACAGTTGTAGTAGTAGTAATAGTAGATAATAAATTTGAAAACAAGATGAATAACATGATATAACTTTTAAAATCTTGGCTAGATCAGAGAAATTTACAGTGTAGTAGTAGTAATAATAGTAGTAATAGTAGTAGTGTTTCGTTTAAAGAGAGGAGACAATGGTTCCTAAGTCTAAAATCAACCTGGACTATCTGTGGGTTTCAGAATGAAGATGAATTAGCACCTTTGCCATAGCAAGTAATGATGTAAAATAAAATATTTTATCTTTTAAATGTTGGAAAGTCCTCAAAATGTCATCTATAACAAGAAGCTGATTGATTGCTGTTTGTATTATTGTTTGCCATTGTATTATTATGAACATTTAAAAGTAGCCTTTAACTTTACATGGCAAAAGGTAAAGTAAATGTTAAAAGATTTAATATCTATAAGCAAGACCTAATACTCCACATTTTATTAGATTAAATTATTCAAATGAAAATTATTTGTACTACCAAAGTTTCCCAGGAATTTATGGGAAACAGTGATTGTAATAAAGGCCTAATAGCCAAGTGTAAGAAGATTAGTCAATGTTGATGGAAGAGTTTTGAAATTTATTGTTGGATTAGTGTTGTCACGATACTAAAATTTCAAACTCGGATTTCGATACTAAGGCGTAGACTTGATACTCAACACCGATGCCTCTTTATTTAGACAATTTTTACATTAAATTGAAGTAGAAACATGGAGGTACTTTGTTTTCTGTTCCCATGTGGTCTTACTACTAGTCTATGTGCTCTTATACTTGTTCTGATACAGCTCAAGATCATTCTAAAACTATTCAGGAAAGGCTAATTTCTGTCCTGTGAATGTGATTTTTTAGTATTGATACCTGCTCAAATAAGTTTCTAGTTTCAATTCTAGTTTTAGTATCGATTAGTGTCTGATTTTGCACACTTTTGCCAACTCTATTAAGGATTAGTTGAAAATTGGTTGGCAAAACTGGATAAAAACCTCAATAAAATCTGATAAAACACATTACTATTACAGGGTTATGAGAGTGTAATAAGATTAAATGGGGCCTATGATTATTATGTCTGCAAGAATTTGAGATTAGCACAGCGGAGACTAGAGTCGACTTGAAATAAAGTTGGCTACATCTGATAAGAACATATTACCTTTAGAATATACTAAAATATTTATATACCTCTGTCAAAATAGATCATTTCTTGGGGAAAACAGTCAAGAAGAACATAGCAGTAGGTATCAAAAGTATCAAAAATTAGATCCTAATTGAGAAAACTAGTATCGAAACTCATTTGAGCAAGTATAAATACTATAAAGTCAAATTCGCAGGACAGAAATGAACCTTTCCTGAATCACTTTAGACTGATTTTGAGCTGTATCAGAACAAGTATAAGAGTACACGGAGTATACAGAATATAAAAAAGTAAACATAAATAAAAAGTGAATAATGAAACTGTATCGAGTATTGAGTCTATTGCTTTGTATCGAAATCGAGTTTGAAATTTTAGACCTTTTTCCTTCAGGGTGACTTGTTTGTTGTGTTAAAAATAAGGATATCTAGGTCAGGGGCGTAGACTGTGTCTGCTTGGAGCCTTAAAGCTGGACTATGTAACTTTTCAGGTTGGTGGGGTCTATGGAAAAGCTTTGGAATGTTCCACGGTATAGCATTAAACTCTGCGTCTTTGCATTTATCAATTACAAGTGTTTTTATTGCTCAGAAACCTTGAGAAGCTTGTATTCTTTCTGTGAGCAGGGTCGCCTCTCCGCAGATCTGACCTGCCAATTGTCACCTGTCAATCATCACCTGCTTTTCTCCGTGTACATAGTAAATGTTTAAAATCGGAATATTTAATCTATAGAAGTGTGAAATATAGAATAAATATATTACACACTTTACTTTTCACTACTTTATGTTAATACTTTCAAATACGATTACAGTATAGTTTTTAACCAAATACAACACAATTTTCAGTAGCAATTGTATTTTTTTCTTTCCTTCCAGTGAAATAGGCTTAACATTTTTTCCAGGCTTGAATTTTTTACCCAGAAGTCACATAGTACTTTTCATAAACATGTAAAA